GGGAGAGGGAAGGCGTGAACAGGTCTGTCCAAGGTCGTTGGCAGAGCGGGGCTGTGAACTGGGTTAGCCCCCAGGCCCCTCCTGCCCATCCGTCCTCCAAGCACTGATGTGTGAGTGGCACAGTGGGCCCCTCGGCCCTGCCAACCCCTCGGGCTGTGGCCCTATAGCCTTTGAGGGACGGCCTCACTTCCCCAGCAGAGGCAGCCTGGCCTTCCAGTACCTCGATGGTGTAGGGCTCCGGGGCCACAATCTGGTGTTTTCAGGACTAGGTTGTGAGTTACTTCCTCTTTTTCTCTCAACTCCCAAGATTTAGTAAAGCGGCCGTGTAGCCATGGTCATCATGGCAATATCGATTTATTGGAAAGCAAGGTGCTTTCTGAAGTTGTGGATGTAATTCTCACACGTGGCCACAAGGTGTCAGGCTCGGGCCAGATTTGGAAATCTGCGCTTTCCAGGTGGAGCAGGGTGGGGCTGGGACGCGAGTTAAGAACGAAATTCGGCCCATCTGGGCTCATCCCAGGGACGCTGCCTCTGAAAGGCGATCCCAACGTTCTACCCCGGGCCTCTCAGTAATAGATCTGATCTTATTTTCATGCTACTGTAGTAGTTTCCTCTCTTAGAACAACACGGATGTTTCAGAAAGGTGTTTCCAGACCTATCCTGTGGCTTAGGCCTTAAGCTTTAGGCTGCTCACCAGGCCACAGCCCCCTGGGGTAGGAGACACCCAAAGGGAGGAATTCCCTCAGCGCCCCCTCCCAGTCCTGTAATGCCAGGACAGAAGCAGATAAGAGCCCCGGATCCAAACACAAAGGCGCAGAACCCATGGCACCCCGACACTGTAGGGAGGTGTCCTAAATTTGCCCCCAGAGTCCCCCTCCAGAGTGCCCCAAATTGCGGTGCCCAAGACCTTTGGGTTATGCCGCTGCAATCCTAGAAATGGCCGCCAGGTGTCAGCATAAGGCCACTTAAGACACTAAATGGCGAAGGCTTGGTATAGAAGATTTCTGGGGGTTCCCAAGACCCTCATGCATGAACAAGGGTGGGCTGAGCCTCTCCCAGGCCTAAGAGGCAGTGGAGCAAGGAGATTTTCTATGTCACGTCCCTCACTCCTGCATCACAGTTTTTGTCCGTTTCACGGTCCCTCTCACCCGTCTCCATAAAGCATGTGTGCCCCCTGACCTCTGTGTGGAAAATCTGTGGAAGGTAGAGCTGTGGGATCACAGCTCTCGTAGCCCAACTCACTGATCCCCAATGCCTCTAGTCCTGCCTCGGTGGCACCATGGCTGAGCTGCTCCCCGGGGGCCCTTTCTTTCCTGACCCCTTCTCCCTGCTCGCCTTCTGTTTACACACCCTGTGTTACAAGATCCTGATGGGATAGCATAGCCCCGGACTAGAGTGAGCTCCTCCTGGGCCCATCCAGATATGGACTTTCAGTCCAGGGCAGAGTTTGGATTCAAGACACCATTGTGGGACTGGGAGGCTCTAGGTTGCCTGGAGTTTGAGCCGTGGGCTGCTTCCCTTTCAACCCCTTAGTTGCCCACCTCCTCAACCTGGGGACCCTTCATTTTGGGGGGCATCCCATGAAATCACTTCATCTGGCTTGGTGTCAGTCCTTCACTATCTCTAGGTCCATCTGCAGCTTGGGAAGTCCCAGCCAAGTGTCTCCAGGGGGCTCTGGCTGTCACTCTTTGCAACATTTGGGCATCTCGCAGCAGACGCTGGGGCCCGCACATGCTGCAGGGCCTCTAAGCTGTAGAGCTCCAAAGCAGAGCAAGAGCCAGCAGGAGCAAGGGCTGCTTCATGCTGACTTCCTTGTCTCTTTGTTTTGTTTATTTCCCTGAGTCTTTGTTTTGTGTCTTCTCTTCTTGCAGGCTTGAGGAAGAGGTGTCAAATCCCCAGTAAGACTTGGTCTAATCCAGTGGGTGATTCTTTCTGAACCCTCCCTGAGCTGCTGCCAGCTCCGAGTCTGTGCTTTAGCTGGAAAGTCTGTGAACCCATTCAGTGCTCTGGACCTGACAGGGTCATTAGCATCCCTCCCCACCCAAAAGCCAAGTGAAAAATCCCAGTTTCCCTCCTCCCATGGGAGGGCATGGCTCTGGGGCATCTGCATCTTATTTGAGACATCCCCCAACACATGCCAGATTTTAATCCCCTTCAAGTCTAATTCTCTTCCCTGTTGAAATCCTTGTTATCCCCACTAGATGTCCTATTCCTCCAGCTAATGAAGGGATTTAAGATGAGGGCTTGAAAGAAAAAGGGAAAGGGGACAATTAAATGCCAACCCAGGCTAGTAAGCTAAACACACTGAAGGTGGTTGGGGTGCATGGGTGTTGGGAGGGTGGGGACTGGTGGCTCTCTGGAAAGTACATGTCTTCACCTCTTCCTGTGTGCCTGGTCTTCCTGCAGGCTTGGGGAAGAGGTTCGAAATTTCCAGTGTGATTTAGTCCAATCTGGTGAGTGCTTCTATATGAACCCTCACCCTGCTGCTGTCAGCTTTGGGTCTGTGCTTTGATTAGAAAGGCTGCAAACCTGTCCAATCACCCCATCCAGGAATGCCTGTGAGTGCCACTTGCAGCAGTATCATTAGAACTTAGTACCACACATGAAGTGCACGAGGTCAGATCAGATATGAACAGTGAAGCGGAGAACTCCCAGCTAGGTCCCTTGTCCATGGAACATAGAAGGACATAACTGTACTAGAAACACCTAAAATCCAATTTTTCTGCTCATTCTTGAACCCTGCTTTTCCCACTTATTCCTCCACCATTTTACCAGTGCCACGCCCACCAACATTCCAGGGTGTCAAGTAACTGCCAAGTGTCACTCTAAGTAGAGCTACACCCACTCCCCACTACCTCCACATAGCCCCCACCTCCTGGCTGGCAGGGGGCTTCTGGCTTATACCCACGCCTACAGGCGCCTTTCTGCCAGGTCAGAGGTGGGCCAAACCTCCATCCCCTAATGCACCATGCCCTGGTGCTGGAAAGTGCCTGAGCCAGCTGCCCCAGCGGCCTCAGCACTACCAAGTTGGCACAAAGCTCCCCAAATTTGGAGGGGCTCAGGGAAAGGAGTGGAGGGGATGAGGAGGTGAGGAGCGAACCCATCATTTCAGTTGGCATTTGAACAGGTGCCATGCTTAGCAGAGATGAGGCTATCCCATCTGTAGGGGCTGCATTCACATGCACACTCTAAAAGTGCCCTGCGTTTCTCCAGCCTCAGCCTTGTCCCCCTCCTCCTCCTCCACGTCAACCTGGCCAGAGGGTCTGGACGCCACAGCCAGAACGCCACCTGCTTTGGTGGCGACTGCTAATATTGGCCAGGCTGGCAGATCATCATCCAGGCAGTCTCGGCAGAGAGCCTTGGGCACCAGTGACTCCCAGTCCTCTTTATCCACTGTCCAGGAGCTGCGGGGATTGCGCAGACTAGAGTACAGGTAACTGGGCTCCCATCCCTTGAGTGTGGGAGAAGAGCTGCATTTTGAGTGTTCAGGCGTGGGTGGGCCCGGAGCTTGGGGCAGCTGCCAGGATCCTGGTTTCTGAAGGAGGGGAAGAATTTCTGCTGCTGGAGGGTCCAGGGAAGCCTCCTGAGAGCAGCCTCAACTTCAACTTCGGGGGTGGCGGGTGGCAGGGAAGCCTGAGAGCAGCCTCAACTTGGCGGGGGTGGCAGGAAAGGCCATTGTGGAGAGGGTTCTTCTATAGGGCTGTACAAAGCCACTAAGGCTTTTGCAAGGAAAATAGGTTTTCCTTTACTAATTCACCAAGCAAAATGGGAGGGGTAGGGGAGGAGGGCCAGGCGGCTCTTCCCAGCGGGAACACACAGCTGTCTTCACAAGTGTAAAGGGAAGAGTCTTTCTGTGTGAAAAATTTCCTCCTGTTGCATCCCCCACCCCATTCCCAGAGACAAACAGGAGACTTTGCAGAGGAGCCAGGGGCCTGAGATTCTGGTATAGATATTTTATTTATATATATATATACACACACACACACACACATATACACCATTTTAAAAGTAAAGCTTCCCTCTCTCCCACCTCCCTATGCCTCCTGACCACCAGCAAGAAATTGGACAGGAGACTGAGAAAGGCCGGGAACGGGCAACAATGCCCGTCCGTGTCCCCCCCAGGTTTAGCTTCTCTCCTCCTGATGGTGCACCTGGTCCCCCTTGCCACCCTCTCAGCCTCCCTGGCACACAGAGGGGCCTTGGGGCCAGGGCAGTTTCCCTGGGAATTCTCATTCATGCATGAAGTTTTTCTTTCTTGCGCCCTGGACCCAGACTCCTCAATCCACCCAGGGTGGTGTCTGTGGGGAGCGGATTCATTTCCCCAGGAAGCACAGCCACCCCTCCCTCACTGGCCTTGTCAAGGCAGAGCTGTGCATCCAGTGGCTTTTGCCGGGTCCCCCTCCTTGTCTCCTTCCAAGGTGGGAGTGTTTGGAGGTGCAGGCGGCTTTCATATTCTGTGCTGTGACCCCTCAAGGTGGGCCGTTTGTGGGCAGCCCTCCACCCCCAGTGCCAGGCAGAAGCCCACCCTGGCCCAGGACCTGGGCAGCCTGTCTAACAGAAGGATTTCAGCCTCTCCATCAGCACCAGAATGCCCTTTCTCGGCAAACTTCTCACCACTTCTACCTTCCCTTGTACTTTGAAAAAGGGAGCTCTGGGCAGGGGAGGGGCTCGAGGGGGAGCCACTGCTCAAATCCTGACAAGGTGATCCGAAGGCAGCCAGGGGAGGGGGATGGGACAGGGCTCAGGCTTGGTGTGTATGGGGGGGCTTTGCTTTTAAAAGAGACTGGCCGGGCGCGGTGGCTCACGCCTGTAATCTCAGCACTTTGGGAGGCCGAGGCGGGTGGATCACAAGGTCAGGAGATCGAGACCATCCTGGCTAACATGGTGAAACCTCGTCTCTACTAAAAACACAAAAAATTAGCTGGGTGTGGTGGCATGTGCCTGTAGTCCCAGCTACTCGGGAGGCTGAGGCAGGAGAATGGCATGAACCCGGGAGGTAGAGGTTGCAGTGAGCTGAGATTGCACCAATGCACTTCAGCCTGGCGACAGAGTGAGACTCTGTCTCTAAATAAATAAACAAATAAATAAATGAGGTAATCTCAGCAACATCTTTTTGCTTTTCCCCAGGGGCCGAAGAGTCACCACTGAGCTTGTGTGGGCGGAGGTGAATTCCAGCCCCCAGCTCCAGGCCTCCGAATCGCTGCCGGCTCAGCCCCCTGCCCAGCCTGCCCCACAGCCTGAGCCCCAGCAGGCCAGAGTGGCCAGAGAGTCCAGTCCTGAGGTGAGCTGCTGTGGCCTGTGGCCCAGGCGACCCCAGTGCTCCCAGAACTGAGGCTGGCAGCCAGTCCCAGTCCCAGCCCCAACTGCAGAGGCAGAGAGGTAAGTGTCTCAGGCACCCTGAGGCCTGGCAGAGAGGGCCACAGGCTCTGTGCAGGGGTCTTCAGACCGGGATCGCCTGCTTCTGCAAGCAGCTGTGGCTCAGAGAGGCTGGTGTGGATTCTGAGTCACACAGCTGGGATCTGGAGTTCTGTGGTGGGCTCCAGGTGTTTCTAGGGGCCAGAGCAGGTGTGGGCAGAGCAGGCTTCCTGCAGTCTCCACAGCACTGAGGTCCTGGCAGGGGAGCTCCTGGGAGAGGAAAAAGGGCAGAGAAGGGGAGAGGGGCAAGGAGAGAGTGGGCAGCCAAGAGGAAGAAGATAGGCAGAAAGTGGATAAAGGGGGGAAAAAGGGAAAATATATCAGTTAGGAATAATCTGGAAACCCAAGGAAAGCTGGGCTCTGCTGGGGGTTGTGAGACCCCTGGGTTCTCCCTGCCCCAGGCTGCTGGCTGTGGGGTCTTGCACCAATAGCCTAACCTTTCTGTGTGTCCCTATTTGTCAAAGTGGGTGACAGTCTCAGGCCTCCTGGCTGTTCAGAATTGAGGCAATAACCAGAGACCTTCTGAGCAAAGGGCCTGAGGGGCTCTGGTGTCAGGATCCCATTGTGGTCAGGAGCCTGCAGGGCTTCCTTTGTGTGAGGAAGGTGGAAGGTGGCTAGAAAGGCGCAGCCAGTGGCCTCTGCCTCAGCCGGAGGGAGCTCTGTGGTGGTGGCTGCACCCATTCACTGGTCAGGCACTGGGGTGACGGGGGAGGTTCCAGGACTTGGGGAGCATTGGAGGTGGAGGCACATGGATTGGAGTCCCTGCACCTGCCCCATGACAGGGGCCTCCCTCGGGGCCTGCAAGCAGGGACCCAGCAGTGGACTCTTCAGGCTAGTTTGCCCATCCCAGATAGAAGCCAGGAGCGCTCTTTCAAAGCTGTCTTCAGCTTAGACACTCAATAAAACAGTAACACAGTGGCGCCATCTCAGTGCTTTGGAGCGTGTACCGTCTGAACCCCTCTCCCAGGGCCCTCTCCCAAGCACCCCAACCTGGACCCATATCCCCCACGTACTTTTGGCTTTGGGTGGGTCGAGCAGCCTTTGGGTGGTCTGTGCTGTCTGGCGTGGAGGCTTCCAGTTTGGGTCCTCCGTCGGACTTCCCAGTCCAGCCGGGCTGACGCCAGCAAGCGTGTCCTTCGCCAGAGAGGGGAGCGAGCGCAAGGTCAGCGCCCTGCAGGGGGTGACGGAGGGGCGCTCTGAGGACCCTTGGAGAAAGGAACTGGGTTTGTAAACTGCTGGGCTTGGTCCCATGGACGGGTGAGCGGTTAGCTCAGAGCCAGAGCCGGGGAGGAAACGGGAATGAGAAAGACCCACCGCAGGCCGGTGAGCGAGGGGATGTGCGGCGGCCACAGGCTGAGGCTGGGGTATGGGCCAGGCTCCGTGGGGTGAGTCTGAGTCCTTGAGCGGGTGTTCATTCTCTGTGGAATTTGGGTTTGCCAGTGGAGAGGGGACCAGCGCTGCCCTGGTGAGGTGCTGGGTCAGGGCTGGGGGAGGGTGCTGCCTGGGGCTAAAGTTCCTGCCAGCCAAGCTCTGGGCGGGAGGAGACCCCAGCGCCCGGGGCTGGAAGTAGTAGGGAAGGAGCCGGTCTTGGGGAAGAACCCGGATGCTGGTCTTGGCTAGGGGGGAGCCGGTGTGCTTTTTGAGTCCCAGGGCGACCCAGGTCTGCCCCAGCCTCCAGCCTGCCCTGGTCACTTTTGACTAAATAAGGAGAGTACTCAGCAGGCAGCCCCGTGGGGGGGGGGGGAACATGTGTGTCCCCCTACTTCCCCACCTGCTCCTCCCTCCCTACAGGGCCACTACACCCTGCTGTGGACACCCCAAGGTGACCTCAGCCTTCTTCCTACCTCAAAAAGTCCAGGCACGTGTCTCCAAGCATGAGTGGTGGCTCCTTGGGGGAAGGCACCTCTGCAGGGTAGAACAAGGGGAAGAGACCCCCAAACAGGTCACTAGTGTAATTGTCCCCAGCACCCCCAAAGAGGAGGAGAGTCCACAACTCGGAACTGGGGCTCTCCCCCAGTGCCCATCCTGTCCCCAGCCTGGGAAGCAGGCGTGGAGGAAAAGGAGTGGGGAGCCCAGAGCTGGCCCTGGGGGGCCCTGGTTTTGTCAATGACAGGAGCCTCAGCAACCTAGTCTGCTCTCCCAGGATCCAGGTTTGCAGACAGGCACTTTTCAAATGCTCCTCACCTCCAAATTTACAAGTCATCTTGCAGAGGAAAACACAGTCGGGGATTCTCTGCTGGAGGCTCCCTGTTCTGCAGACACGGGCCGGAGCGGCCAGAGAGCTGGGAAATGGGGAGGCTGCAGAAGGCTGGTGGGAAGGGGGCCAGTGATGGGTGGGGGTAGATGGGCCAGATGTTTTGGAATGGGACTTGGGGGTGATTGATGCAGACAGAAATTTGAAGGGGACATTCCCATGTGTCTTGTGCTCTGGGTGGAAAATGGACTGTTTTTCATGGTGGGGGGATTCTCTCCGTCTTGCCAAGCTAATGTGAAAGAGATGCCTCACCCTGCTCAGCTCCCCACACCTGTCCAAGGCTGTTAACTTCTGCCTCCCCAGTGCCAGGCTTTGAGATGCCCCCCTTCTAGCGGGGGTCCTCCTATGGGGTGACAATGGTGACAAGCAGGGCCCACTGTACTTGCCCCAAGATCCCACACCAGTCTGCTGGTCCCCAGCGGTGGCCCCTCTCTGGCAGTCCCCCCACCCACCCCACAGGTCCCCTTAAGGCCACTGCCCCATCGCCCGACATTGCCCAACGCCAAGGGGTGACCTTGTTCCTGCTGACAGTGCGGTTGGGCGCCTGCACGCGGGTTTAATATTTGCCTTTAAGGAACTGGGCTTTCCCCAGCCTGAGTGGACAGGCTTTCCCTGAAAATTCGCTTGGAGAGAATGAAAAGAGACGCCTGGCACCCCAGCGGCCTGCAGTCCTGCACCCCCCCTCCCCACCGGCCCCGTGTTTCTCATTTTCCTCCCCACTTCCTTTCCCCTTCAGTGTTACCCAAACAAAACTGGTTTCACCCTTGTTTGGTGCTGGCGAAGGCCCGAATGGCGCGCGCAAAGCTCCGAGGCGGGCCGGGGGTGGCCGCCGGGGGTGCTCCGGGCCCCCAAAGCCAAGCCGGGGACTAGCCTGCCCCCGGTGGCGGCTCGGCCGCGGCTTCGCCTAGGCTCGCAGCGCAGAGGCGAGTGGGGCGCAGTGGCGAGGGGAAGCCTGCGGACCTCCCACGCGGGGACCGAGCAGGTAGCTGGGAGTCCCGGGAGCTCCCGGGAAGCAGCGTACTGGTCGCTCCCTCGCGGCCTTTGGGTTTCTTCCTTCCACCCAGGCGCCCGCTAAGCTCGGGCTGCCGCCACAAACGCGCTCTCCGTGTGGAGAAGGCAAAGAAAAAGAAAAGAAAGAAAGAAAAAACCCAAAGAACGAAAAGCAGAATTTCAGCCGACCGTGCGCGCCAGGGCGCTCCGCGCTACCTGCCCGCGCCGCCCGCGCTCGCGTTCCCCGGGGAGGGCGCCAGTGCTCCGCGCGCGCCCCAGTCAAGGTGAATCCCGGGCAGCGCCTTCCTTCCGCGGCCCGGGAAGCTTGAGCTCAACAATTAGCCTTTGATCCTCGGGGGATCCCAATCCACGGAACAACTTCCCTGCTTTCCCCAAACTCGGACATTTTACTTGTTCTGGGATCCTCTAAATTTAAGCATTGCTTCCCAAGTCTTCCAAATATATTCAGCATTTCGACGGGTCACAAGAATTTTCTTGGACATTAATTTCCGGGGACGTCAAAACACACCAGCCCGGGCTGGCTTTTCCAGACTTACACTATGTCGCCTGGGTCCCCAGATTTGCTTTCTTCCAGGCTCTGGACAGTTTTATACACCCCTCCCCAGGTCCCACAGATTTACAGACTACTAACCCGGGTTCCCTAATTTTAAAGACAAAGCCCTTGGTCCGTGGTGGTCGCGCTGACCGATTTGCCTGGTTCCCCAGGATGTGGACAGTGCCCTTTCCACACTTGGACATTGTTCCCCAAACAAGTGGACCTTCCCCCCCATAATTTTGAAAATTAACTCCAGGGTCTCCTAAGCTTACTGTTTCCCCCACATTTCCACCCCATTCCGCGCCCCCACCCCACCCTTCCCCTTCACCTCAGCATGGGACATTTGCTACTTAGTTCTGCAAATCTATTCGCACTAACCTGGGTTCCCTAAATTTTACACGTTGAATCCCAAGTCCCTCAGGACACTGAGCAGGGCTGGAAGGTTGGAACCCTCAGAGTATGAAAATTCCTTCCCATACCTTCCCCCAAATTCGGGCATTACACCCAGAGCACATTCAATCCTTTTCTGAATCAAAAACGACCTGCCCTCTGATTGCCTGAGTTTCATAAAATGGAGAGATTTCCCCAATGATTCTCAAAACCTATTGAGAATGTTGTGGGTGTGTGAGTCACAAAGCTTTGCGGCATTAATGTCTATGGCTCTATACGCTGCTTGGCCATGAATCAAGCCCGTTAAGTGTAGACACTGCCACTCAGGTCCCTGGAACACACTGAGCAGTTACCAGGAGGTGCTCAAGTGTGACCCAGGATTCTCCAGGTCCCCCAAATCACACAGGGTCTCACCGGTCCCTCTGGGCTAAACGAAGCACAGAAGAACCCCTTGGGCAGAGGCTATTTCTATTTCTGTTATGCCAGGTGTTGCTAACGGCCCCAGTTCCCAAACATTCTGAGCATTTTCTCTGCATCACAACATTGACTTATTAAACAATTCTCTGGGTCCCAGGAGCTTCGTCACAAGAATCTTGCTTTTCCAAAATTCAGGCATTGGTCTGAAACCCCAATGGCCAGGATCACACTGGACCCTTTTCCTGGTCCCCCATACTTGGATGTTCTGGACGCTGCTCTCCAGGCCCTCTAGAAACATTCGGCATTGCCCTCGGATCAGAGGAAGGCACTGATTTCTTGGGCTCCAAACAACCCACTGAGTCATCTGAAAGTTAAGCAATATTTCCTTCAAACACACTGTACACTCCCTATCACAAAATCTGAAAATTCCTAAGTTCTAAGACATAGGAACGCTGAATCTCCTTTCTCGAAAACATACATACCTAAAACGTGCAAGTCCTCCAAGGACTATGAGTGACTTCCCTAGATCTTTAGATTCAAAAACGATTTTCCTGGAGCCCCCAAACTGAGGTATCGTCTCCCAGCCTTCCGAGCAAATTGAGATTTTTTTCCCTTCACAAAAACAATTGAGGTATTTTTTAAAATACTGATTTATGAGTCTCCTGACTTTATGATCCCTGCCCTGGTCCCCCTACATTTAGAAAATGTTCCATGGACCCCCCAAAGCACACTAAAAAATGTCCCTGGGTCCCAGAAATCCCAGGCATGAAAAACCCTGTGACCTGTAAGTTTCCTAGCTACTAACCAGGTTCCCAGACATTTAGATATCAAATCTCCATTGGGTAATTTCCAAGTGTCCCAAAAACCTGAAACGTGTTTCACTGGGGCTTCCCCAAATGCAGACACTGTCCAGGAAAATATATAGTATTGTTCTTATTTACCGAAAATAAACTAATGGAAATAATTTAAAATTTGACATAGAAAAAGAATACTGATTTTTTTGTTTGTTTTCCCCAAATGTACTGATCACACTCCAGGCTCCCCCAAAATTTAGACAGTGCTTTCTTCCATCTCTGAAGGGCATTAAAATGTTTCCCTGAAGCCACAGTAATTATGAAAGTTACTTTTCTCCGCATGCTGCCAGCGTCCAGGCGACTAACTTGTATTCTTAAGATGTGAAAATTAATCTCAGCTTCCCCCTAACACACCAAGAATGTGTTTGGATCCCCAAAATGTGTCCCTTGCTTTCATCTGCCAATTTTAGGCAATGTGCCTCTTAGGCAAAACTCCCAATTTCATATGGAGACTTTCCTTTAACTACCCCTCCTCAAAAATTGGTCTGGGATTTCCTGGGTCCCCCAAGCTAGCTGGCCCCTATTTTAGACCTCTTTCTCTATGTTCCCAATTGCATGGAGCAAGTTCCCTCATCCCCCAAACCTGTAATCTATTTTTGTGGAGTCTCAGGTTTAGTCATTAATCAAGGTTCCCACATTAACGGAGTCCCCGGGGTCTCCTCCTCCAGGACACCCATTCGCTAAGCCCGCAAGGCAGAAAGAACTCTGCCTTGCGTTCCCCAAAATTTGGGCATTGTTCCCGGATCGACGGCCGCCCACTGCAGCTTCCCCAACCCCGCGCACAGCGGGCACTGGTTTCGGGCCTTTCTGTCTCCTACGAAGTCCCCAGAGCAACTAGGATTTGGGAAATTTCTCTCTAGCGTTGCCCAAACACACTTGGGTCGGCCGCGCGCCCTCAGGACGTGGACAGGGCTTCCCTGCGTCCAGGAAAGCGACCGGGCATTGCCCCCAGTCTCCCCCAAATTTGGTCATTGTCCTCGGGTCTTCCAACGGACTGGGCGTTGCTCCCGGACGCTGAGGACTGGCCCCGGGGTCTCGCTCACCTTCAGCAGCGTCCACCGCCCGCCACAGAGCGTTCGATCGCCCGCCGCCTGAGCTCCTGGTGCGCCCGCGATCGCAGCCTCCAGCCTCGCGGTGAGCTCCCCGCCGCGCCGGTCCCCGCCGCCTCTGCGCCCCTGCCCGGCTCCCGGCCCTCATCTGCTGCTGTCCCGCCGGTGCTGGCGCTCGTATCCGGCTGCCGCCGGAGAGGCCGGCGTGGGGCACGGGACCCGGCTGCGGACTTGAGGCTTGGCGGCTGCGCTCGCTCCGGCTGGGCGCCCCGAAATCCGCGCCACTTTCGTTTGCTTATTGCAAAGATCTTATTTGTGGGGAAAGCGGCTGGAGGGCCCCAAAGTGGGGCGGGCAGGGAGCTGCGGAAAGGGACGCAGAGGAGAGGCGCTCCCGCCGGGCGGTAAAGCGTCTCTAGCCCGCGGGCCTAGGACTCCGCCGGGAGGCGCGCGCGGAGCGCGGGCGAAGTGATTGATGGCGGAGCGAGGGGGGCGAGGGGGGCCCGGGGGGCGCGAGTTTCCGCCGGCGGCCCCTTCCCCTTGACCAGGCTTTGGCGGCGGGGAGCTGGCGGGGTGCGGGATTTTGTGCGTGGTTTTGACTTGATAAAAATCACAGTGCTTTCTTACATCGTTCAAACTCTCCAGGAGATGGTTTCCCCAGACCCCCAAATTATCGTGGTGACCCCCGAGACTGAACTCGCGTCTATGCAAGTCCAACGCACTGAGGACGGGGTAACCATTATCCGGATATTTTGGGTGGGCCGCAAAGGCGAGCTACTTAGACGCACCCCGGTGAGCTCGGCCATGCAGGTAGGATTTGAGTTGTGTTTCCCGCCCTGATTCTCTCTCCTTTGGCGGCCGGAGCCTCGGCAGACTCCAGGCCTGGCCCAGATTCGGCCTGGCCCAGCCGGCCTTCCGTGCGTCCCGCACCTGGCGGGGGCTCCGGGGCTCCGGCGCGGCACCGGGGGGCGCTCGGGATCTGGCTGAGGCTCCAAGCGCCGCGTGGCCGGCTCCTCCTGCTAGGGCAGGTGGCGGCTGCGCGCCCCGCCCGAGCCCAGGGGCCCCCTCCGCCGCAGCAACCAGCAAGGATCCCCCGATCCAGCCCGGAGCCACCTGCATCTGCACTCAGACGGGGCGCACCCGCAGTGCAGCCTCCTGGCAGGGATCTGGGAGCCCGCCTGCCCCTGTCTGCCCGGAGACCCCAGCTCACGAGCACAGGCCGCCCTGGCACCCCAGAAACCCTAGATGGGGCCCCTGAATTCTCTAGAACGGGCATTCAGCATGGCCTTGGCGCTCTGCGGCTCCCTGCCCCCCACTCAGCCTCGTCCCCGCGCACCCCCCAGCCCCCGCGACCGCCGCCCCCCCCCCAACCGGGGCCCCAGGGCCCCAGGGCCCCCAGCCCGCGCCCCCCGCCCCGCGCTTGGCTCGGGTTGCGGGGGCGGGCCGGGGGCGGGGCGAGGGCTCCGCGGGCGCCCATTGGCGCGGGCGCGAGGCCAGCGAGGCCCGCGCGGGCCCTGGGCCGCGGGCTGGCGCGACTATAAGAGCCGGGCGTGGGCGCCCGCAGTTCGCCTGCTCTCCGGCGGAGCTGCGTGAGGCCCGGCAGGGCCCGGCCCCCCCCTTCCGGCCGCCCCCGCCTCCTGGCCCACGCCTGCCCGCGCTCTGCCCACCAGCGCCTCCATCGGGCAAGGCGGCCCCGCGTCGACGCCGCCCGCTGCCTCGCTGCTGACTCCCGTCCCGGGCGTCGTCCGCGGGGTCGCGCTCCGCCGGGCCTGCGGATTCCCCGCCGCCTCCTCTTCATCTACCTCAACTCCCCCATCCCCGCTTCGCCCGAGGAGGCGGTTCCCCCCGCAGGCAGTCCGGCTCGCAGGCCGCCGGCGTTGTCACCCCCCCGCGCTCCCCCTCCAGCCCTCCCCCCGGCGCGCAGCCTCGGGCCGCTCCCCTTTCCACGCTGCGTCCCGGAGCGGCCCCGGTGCCGCCACCGCCTGTCTCCTCCCGAGGCCCGGGCTCGCGACGGCCGAGGGCTCCGTCGGCCCAAACCGAGCTGGGCGCCCGCGGCCCGGGTGCAGCCTCCACTCCGCCCCCCAGTCACCGCCTCCCCCGGCCCCTCGACGTGGCGCCCTTTCCTTCGCTTCTCTGTGCTCCCCGTGCCCCTCTTGGCATCTGGCCCCGGCCCCCGCTCTTTCTCCCGCAATCTTCCCTTAGCTCCCTCCCGTCCCCCCCAGTTCCCAGCCTCAGACTCCCTCCCCCCCTCACGCCCGCCCTCTCGCCTTCGCCGAACCAAAGTGGATTAATTACACGCTTTCTGTTTCTCTCCGTGCTGTTCTCTCCCGCTGTGAGCCTGCCCGCCTCTCGCTGTCCTCTCTCCCTCTCGCCCTCTCTTCGGCCCCCCCCCTTTCACGTTCACTCTGTCTCTCCCACTATCTCTGCCCCCCTCTATCCTTGATACAACAGCTGACCTCATTTCCCGATACCTTTTCCCCCCCTAAAAGTACAACATCTGGCCCGCCCCAGCCCGAAGACAGCCCGTCCTCCCTGGACAATCAGACGAATTCCCCCCCCCCACAAAAAAAAGCCATCCCCCCGCTCTGCCCCGTCGCACATTCGGCCCCCGCGACTCGGCCAGAGCGGCGCTGGCAGAGGAGTGTCCGGCAGGAGGGCCAACGCCCGCTGTTCGGTTTGCGACACGCAGCAGGGAGGTGGGCGGCAGCGTCGCCGGCTTCCAGGTAAGCGGCGTGTGCGGGCTGGGCCGGAGCCGGGGCTGGGGCGGCGCGGGCTTGCGCCGGACGCCTGGCCCTTTCTCCGACTGCTCCTGGCCCGGGCCTGCGGGGCTCGGCGGGGCGGCTGAGCCCGGGGAGGGGGAGGAAGACGGGCGGCTGCGGGTCCCGTTCCCTGCGCGGAGCCCCGCGCTCACTCTGGCGGTGGAGCTGGGGGTGGGGTGGGGTGGGGGCGTCGGGAAGGGCCGAGGGAGGTGTGAGCTGTCTGCAGGGGCGACTTCCTGGTCGGTCTGTGGGTGCAGGGGGTGCTGCCGAACATGTGTAATTCGTGCCTTGCGGGCCCTGGCCTCCGGGGTGCTGGGTAACGAGGAGGGGCGCGGAGCCGCAGAAGCCCACCCTGGTATGTTGACGCGGTGCCAGCGAGACCGCGAGAGGAAGACGGGGTGGGCGGGGCCAGGATGGAGAGGGGCCGAGTTGGCAGGAGTCATGGCAGACGCCACATTCGCGATATCTCCCCCACACCCCCTCTGGCTCTGTCCGCAACATTTCCAAACAGGAGTCCCGGGAGAGGGGGGAGAGGGGCTGCTGGCCCGAGGCTAAGAAGGGCAGAGCCTTCAACCCAGAGAGAGGCCAGGGCCCCTGCCCAGTGGGCAGCGTGGAAGTTTCCATACAAGGAGGTGGGAAGGAGACCCCCCCTTCACTGCCCTGTGCAGAGATGAGCTGGGGGTGCAGGATGGGAGCCCATGGCACTTCGCTACGGGATGGTCCAGGGCTCGCGGTTGGGGGTGCAGGAGAGAAGAGACTGGCTGGGAGGAGGGAGAGGGCGGGAGCAAAGGCGTGGGGGAGTGGTCAGCAGGGAGAGGGGTGGGGGGTAGGGTGGAGCCGGGACTGGGAGGAGTCGGCTCACACATAAAAGCTGAGGCACTGACCAGCCTGCAAACTGGACATTAGCTTCTCCTGTGAAAGAGACTTCCAGCTTCCTCCTCCTCTTCTTCCTCCTCCTCCTCCTGCCCCAGCGAGCCTCCTGCTGAGCTGTAGGTAACCAGGACTGTGGACTGAGGACACCCGCTGCCATCCCACTCCAGCCTGAGGCAGGGCAGCAGGGGGCACGGCCCACGCCTGGGCCTCGGGCCCTGCAGCCGCCAGCCTGCTGCCTCTCGGACAGCACCCCCCTCCTCTCTCTTCCTCTGCCCCTACCCCCACCTGGTCTCTGCTTCCTCACCTGCTTCTTCCCTTTCCGTTCCTTCCCTTCGGCCCCCTGCTTGCCCAGGTCAGGGCTTTTCCTGGGCCCTCACCTGCTCCGCACCGCGGCAGGCATGCTTCCTGCCCTGCTTTCTGCCGGTCCCCTGACCCGGACCTCCAAGTTCGGAGTGGTGGGGCTTGTTGCGGAACCGCGGCGAGGGCTTGAGTGGCCAGCTGGCCGAGTGTGCTCTTAGAATTTGGAAGCGGGTGGCAGAGGGGGCGGTGAGGGGACTGGCTAGGGTCCAGTCAAGGAGATGACCAAGGAGGCTTTCGGATCCTCGGTGCGGCTGCCCACTGCTCTTTAGAGAGGGCATGCAAACTTGTGCTTCTCTCCCATTGCCTGCTCAGTCGCTCACATAATTTATTGCATCGAAAACTCGCCTGGGTCTGTGGAGGGAAGGCTGGGGCTGCCCGCCTGGAGGGCTCCACCTTCTGCAGGGGTAGGGCCAACTTGCTGTGGTGGCCCCCGGCCTCCCACCCCGGAGTTGGTTAGCGGCCCTGTGGCCCTGCAGCCTGTGGAGGGGGTGTGTCCTAAGACTGGCCTCCCCTTCCAGATTGCACTCAGGGGAACCTGTTGTCTGACTTCCCAGGTGGCCTGAGCTGGTCTCTCCAGCTCTCACGGGGAGAGTTTGGTAGCGCAAATGGGGAGATGTTCTGGAGGCCCCGGCCTTACTGGTTTGATTTGAGGCCTGGAAAGAAGGCTCTGGGCTTGTGTGTGTGTGTGTGTTTGGAGGTACCCATAGCAGACTGGAGTTGGAGAACTGGGTGACTGGGAAAACAAGGTTTCTAGAAGCATGGGTGGTGTGGCTGTGCTAACCACTGGAGTCTTGAGCCAGGCCTGGCTCAGCGGCAGACTGGAAAGGTGGAAAAGCCAGGGGAGGGGGCGGGACTGGCCCAGCGGGACCGGCCTGCTGCTTTGAGGGGGATGGTCCTCCTGGACCCCCCCTGCTCAGCTGGGGATTGTGGGGAGGAAGGGACTGGTCCTCTTGGATGCACATGCTCTGTGGGGTGGGGTTGTCTGCCATCTTGGCTGGCGCTGGAGGCCTGAGAAGTGGTGATGGGCCCCTGGGCTGGCCCTGCCCCCATGGTGTCACAGGACGGAGGCCAGGTCGGGTGTCCAGCCTGGGCCCCTGCAGCTGTGGGTGCCGCCGAGCTCCTGCAATAATGACCACGGAGATGGTCACTCCTCATGTAAAATTACTAGTGCTTCTTGCAAATCGAAGGAACTGGGCCCTTTCTGTGTGCTTCCAGACACTTCATTCTCCAAGTGGCCCTGCGCCCTTAGCTCGGCATTGTGACCTGTGTGTTACTTTTGTAATGAAAATAATGTTTATAGGAAAGCCATGCTTTAAATTTTTAATTGAATTTGTAGGTTGGCCAACGGCCTCTGGTTTGGGAGGGGCACCTTTGGCCTGGGGCTTGGCCTGGCTGCCACGCTCACGCCACTTCTCTCCTGCCCCCAGATACCAATG